TTCACGTAAAAAGACTAGAACCAATACGACCAGTTATAAATAACAGTGGAGCGTTGGCATTGGGCAAGGGTCCGTGGTGGTGGTGGTATTAAACCAGTATAGGGAAGGAGATGAATCTTAGAAAGAGGGTGGGCACTCAAAACAATAGCAGCGTGCACGCCCCCATCAAACCAAATCCGTCACTGGCAGCAAGGCGAGGAATGGAAATGTACTCTTTGGTTTTATTCGGTAAAGTCACGTAGGTAAAACAAATTAAAATAAAATAAACAATAAAAACACGACGTTTCGGAGGCAGCGCAAGCTTCATTTTATTTTAATTTGTTTTACCTACGTGACTTTACCGAATAAAACCAAAGAGTATGAATCCTTGCAGTCACGAAAGCTTCAAATCTAGAATGGAAATGTCTCAGTGAGGAGAACGACTCCCCAATGAGAGGCCTTGCAGCAGCCAAACCGTGCAGCAGCAGCAACAGCAGAAGTAGCAGCAGAAGCAGCAGCAGCAGGAACAGCATCAGCATGAGCAGCAGCAACAGCAGCAGCAGTAGCAGCAGCAGGTGGAGCAGCAGCAACAGCAGGAGGCGGAGCAGCAGCTGTAGCAGAAGGCGGAGCAGCAGCAGTAACAGCAGCAGCAGGAGCAGATAGAGTGCTTCCATGCTCACGACCCTGAACTCCTCCTCAGTGCAGGCGCGAGGCGTGCCGCACATTCCACATTCCCCAGCCTCTCTGCCCGTTGCCACCGCTATCGATGTCCAAATGACGAGCCACTTTGTTGAGCTATCGTTTGTGCTAGCCATGGCAATTCTGAAAATAAGTTAATAGCTTCGTGGGCTTTGCCCGGTAGGATGGGGATGGTTTAGTTTTATTTGTATGATTTGGGTGATTGTTTGCTTTACCTGTACTTTGCCCCTGCTGGACATCTGTGGAAAAGAGCTTCATAGCTTATCGGATTCCTCCAGTAAAAAGAAAGATTCCGACTTTAGTTATGAATGATAAGGTTACCAGGATAGCATTTTTCACGATACGATGCGAGAATTTTCACGATGTTATTGACTATCGCGATAATTTTCCCGTAACTTTGCATTTGTATTTCCCACATTCTATCATGATTGTGCTTGGCTGGACTTACACTCTGAATAAGGTGCTTTGGCAGTTGTTCAAAGGCAGCTCCCCCAAGACAAAGCAGCCACGCCTCTTATAATCGTTGCACCTTCAAATTACAGTCTATCGTTGTCACAACGCGCTTGTCTCTCCAATCAGTTCGCATGTCAACCACGAACGGGACCAGAGTGAGCCCTGCCTCGAGATCGTCGTCGTAAGCGCGGGTCACGTGACCCCCGTTCTCTGTGCGCCACCCAACCAGCGATGATTATTCTACGTGCTATGATTATGCTATGTGCTATGAATACTCTACGTGCTATGATTATTCTACGTGTTATGATGTGCTATGATTACTTTGCGCCCTATAATGATTTAATGTGCTATGATTATTGTACGTACTATGATTGCTCTACATGCTATTATTATTTATACACTATGATTATTCTACGTGTTGTAGATTACTCTACGTGCTATTATTAGCCTATTATGATTATTCTATGTGCTATGATTACTCTACGTGCTATGATTACTCTACTATGATTATTCTATGTGCTATGATTACTCTAGGTGCTATGATTATGTCTGTAATATCAAGGAGGCTCTTTCCCCGAGTCACTCACTACAAGCCCAGTGTAGTAGTAGTAGTACAAGTAGGGTCGCTTACCGCTTTTTCTTTCCAAAACGGGACTTCTCTCCAACAGTGGTGACGAGGTAATGTTGTTGTATCCCTCCCGTTGTGTTCTAACACCAATTAAGTTTTGCCTCTCCAATCAATTCGCACGTCAACCACGAACGGGACCAGAGTTGAGGCCTGCCTGGACACAGCCTGGAGATCCGTCGTCGTGAGCGCGCGAGTTGGTTGTCGTGACGACGCAGTGACGTAACAGTCACGTGGCCCGTTCTCCCAGTTCCGGGTCACGTGGCTCGTTCTCCCAGTTCCGGGTCACGTGGCTCGTTCTCCGAGTCCCGGGTCACGTGGCTCGTGTTCCGTGTGCTCGTGCGAGCCATCCAACCAGCGACGCTGCCGCGTGCACCTCGTGCTCGGCTGTGATTTGAATTCGTTAGAGACCCCCACCGGTGCCCTATATAGGCGTGCGATGATGGTGCATGCGTGATGTTGGTCGTATTGGCGGTTGTTGCTGTAGTCGGTGGTAGTTGACGATGAAAGATACTGTTATCGGTTTGTGGTGGTTGTTTTATTGGTAGTGGTTGTTGATGTTGACTGGTAGTTGTCATTGTGTTGGATGTGGTTGTTTTATTGGTGGTGGCTGAAAGTGTTGGTTGTTTTATTGGTGGTTGATGGTGGTGGTTGTTGTGTTGATGGTGGTTGTTTTATTGGTGGTAGATGGTGGTGGTTGTTGTGTTGATGGTGGTTGTTTTATTCGTGGTTGTTGGTGTTTTGTTATTGTTCGTGGTAGTGGTTGACGTTATAGGTAGCGGTGGTTGCTATCTGTTGGTGGTGATGGTTATAGATGTAATTGTTGTTGGTGACCATTGATGGTTGTTGTGGTTAGTGGTGGTTGTTGACATTGGTAGTGGTTGTTGGTAATGATTACAGTTGTTGGTGATTAAAAGCGGCTTTGGTTTATAGCTGGTGGTTGTTAGTGCTGTTGTGGTAGTTTGTGCTGATGGTGGTTGCTGATCGCGTGCTGCTGGTGGTGGTTGCTGTTGAGGTGGTTGTTGTTGATGGTCATTGATAGTTGTTGTTGTGTTTACTGTCGACTCAGTCTCAAACGAGTTCCTGGTGCAGTGTGTAAACATCGTCGCTGGAGAGACAAAGGCGTCCGGGCGTGGTGCTTGCCACACCCACCCCCTCGCGTGCCGTGCCGGCCTTCATAGGTGCTCGCTTGTAGCACTTGCCTCTAAAGTATGTTAAGGCTACACGGGGGAACTTTGTCTTTGACAGACCAGGTGAGAGCGGCGGAACACACGCAATGCCGCACATGAGGCCACAGGACAACTTGTCATCATCATCATTGTTGTTGTTGTAACAAGGCGAGAGTTTCCCAAACGTTGAACGCAGAATGTCTCATCATTCATTGGTCTTTGTGATCAATCGCACGTGCCACTCTCATGCTGACATGGCCAGCTTGTGTGATGGCTCACCTGAATTATAGGAATATACGTGAACACACACTTGGGGATCGCCTAAGAAATAATTAACTTATTGGTTTTTTTTTAAACCGAAACAAAATCGAGTTGTGTCATTTGAGTAATCTGATAGATTCCCCGGGGTCCTGCCACTGCGCTGTTGTGGCTGTCTGCCGTTAGTGATAAACAGAATACATTAGTAACGTCTCCTTTTTACAGCTGCGTACCACACTGTAAAAGTAATGTTTAAAAACAACTTTTTTTTTAAACACGCTTTAATAAAATGTACCGTACTAGTATTGAAAGAACTCCACGACTCCAGGGAGTGGAATCGAAGCTCGCCACAACGTAAGGGGACTGTGGTGCTTTACAGCCAACATCAGTTGAGCGTGGACAATTAGACCCAAGCAAAAAAATAACATTAAAAATAATTTGTAAAAATATATATTTTTTATTTTAATGATAGAATACAGTATTGTCATCAGTATGACATAAGCATACCAAGTTTGCAGTCGATACCACATTGGGAAGTGGGTAAAAATTGAGTTACAAGATTTGAGGATACAACAATAGACAGAGTTAATAAAAAGCGTGTAATAATAAAAAAAACCTTAAATTATTTATTACACAACGCAACGACCGCACCCACCGCCGCCTGGCGGTTCAAAACTGCGGCGGCACTGATTGTGTACGCGCATTGAATGAACTCTGCTGAAAGTATGCGCTCCCCCAGAAGGTCCGTGTGGCTGATGGGATGTGTCAAACACACTTCAAACCGGTAGATGGAGGGAGCGATGTATGGACAAGGTTGGCGTATTGCCTGCTGAGTTATGTTGTAACGTTACACGCAAAGAAGACGATGCCTCTCTGACTGACAGCGGAATTTGCTTCGAAGCGATCTCTGTGCGCGCGTGAACTCCGCACCGTGTAACCACGACGCGTAAACACGCGCACACAACGTGGAAACAAAGATCAAATATTTTTTTATTTAATGCTTTCGTGACTGCAGGGATTCATATTCTTGGTTCTTTCGGTAAAGTCACGTAGAAGGGAAACAATAAAATAATGAAAATATTTTTAAAAAATTCTCACGACGTTTCGACTGCAACACAAGCAATCATCATCAGGTGTGAAAACCTTCACACGTCGTGAGAATTTTAATTTTTTATATTTTTATTATTTTATTGTTTCCCTTCTACGTGACTTTACAGAAAGAACCAAGAATATAAAGATAAAAGATCCCCCGTGTAGCCTTAACAGATTGTAGGGGCAAGTGCTATTAGCGAGCACCTATGAAGGCCGGCACGGCACACGAGGGGGGGGTGAGTGGAAAACACTACGCCCGGCCGCCTTTGTCTCCCCAGTGGCGATGTTTACACACCGCACCAGGTACTCATTTGAGGCTGCGTCGACCGAGGTGAGTCCCAGGACCGGTTCAAGTAATCGTCACTGGTGTTGGCCGTGAGCGGGAATCAAAGCGCAGCGTGCTAACCGCTACACTTACCCCTCCCCCCACGTGGAAACACACACACACATGTCAACGCACACACGTGTAAACACGTAAACAGGAAAAACAGCAGCCATTCGCCACTAAGTGCAGGTGAGGTCACCACGGCGCTTGTGCCAGGCTAGCTGCACTTTGAGGCCACGTGAAGTGTCGAAGGCTCACTGACAGGTCACGGGACAGACCCAGGTGCCATGGCTTTGACTGATTGAGATCACTGGCAGATGAATCGTCACCCGTGCCTCCCCACTGTGCCAACCTAGCCGTTTTCATTTCAACAAGTTGGGGCCTCTGTGCAAACACAGCACAGTATACAACGCATCACTCGGTAATGTCGGCATGAACAAACGAATCATGTTGAAGCAAGTCTGAAAGACCCGTTATGCTGTTAATTCAAAGCTATTCTATGGAGTCACAGTTGTTGTGTCCTTCATGAGCATTCTGAAAACAACCTCCTCCCTTCCCCCAGGACAGGTGCCGGCAAACCAAAAAAGTAACAAGCAGAGCCACTTGTTTTAGAATTCGATAACAAAAAACTCAATATTTCAAGAGCCGAAATGCACTGTGTGGTGAATACGAGACGGTGGGTCCTTAATAAACAACGTCACGAAACAGCAGTCCTTAAAGAGCCACATATTTGCCAACCCATGCCCTAGGCCCTGCCCTTTAAAACAACCAGTCGCTCTGCCTCCGCCAGCCCATCGAATTCCTCCAGTCGAAATAAATATTCTGATCAAAGTGGTCTTATATCACGAAAACATTGTTTAAACTGTAATGGTACAATATTCCAAAACAAATGCTACACATTTGACAGAATACGTGATATCAACCAACCTCTAAAAAACTCACATTTCAGATGTCCATACTTTGTTAATTTGTTCAACCTTACTATTTTACAAAGTATATTTTGTAAATAATGTCCATGTTTTTTTCGTACGTGTGTGTGTGTGAATATATTTGAATTTGTTCACTTGGAAACCCCAGGAAACTCTGTAGGGAGATGCAGTCTTGAGAGTGACTGATGAGGGGGTTCTTAGGAGGTATCTCTTCCACTCATTTCTTACAAGGTGAACGCAGGGGTACGGAGCTGTATGCTTGTAATTTAAGACTCTACAACCTTCACAGAGCCTTCTACCTATGCCTGGAGTCTCTGTACCTGAGTCTGGAACCCTGTACCTGAGTCTGGAACCCTGTACCTGAGCCTGGAGTCTCTGTACCCGAGTCTGGAATCTCTGTACCTGAGTCTGGAATCTCTGTACCTGAGTCTGGAGTCTCTGTACCTGAGTCTGGAGTCTCCGTACCTGAATTTGGAGTCTCTGTACCTGAGTCTGGAGTCCCTGTACCTGAGTCTTGAGTCTCTGTACCTGAGTCTCGAGTCTCTGTACCTGAGTCTGGAGTCTCTGTACCTGAATCTGGAGTCTCTGTACCTGAGTCTGGAGTCCCTGTACCTGAGTCTTGAGTCTCTGTACCTGAGTCTCGAGTCTCTGTACCTGAGTCTCGAGTCTCTGTACCTGAGTCTGGAGTCTCTGTACCTGAATCTGGAGTCTCTGTACCTGAGCCTGGAGTCCCTGTACCTGAGTCTTGAGTCTCTGTACCTGAGTCTGGAGTCTCTGTACCTGAGCCTGGAGTCTCTGTACCTGAGTCTCGAGTCTCTGTACCTGAATCTGGAGTCCCTGTACCTGAGTCTTGAGTCTCTGTACCTGAGTCTTGAGTCTCTGTACCTGAGTCTGGAGTCTCTGTACCTGAGTCTGGAGTCTCTGTACCTGAGTCTGGAGTCTCTGTACCTGAGTCTTGAGTCTCTGTACCTGAGTCTGGAGTCTCTGTACCTGAGTCTGGAGTCTCTGTACCTGAGCCTGGAGCCCATGTCTCTGGCCGGGGTCTCCCCTCACGTCTCCAGCGCCATGCTGCTGCGGCGGCATGGCGCTGGAGACGTGAGGGGGTCAAATACTTATTTCCCTCATTAAAATGCAAATCAATTGATAACATTTTTGACATGCGTTTTTCTGGATTTTTGTTGTTGTTATTCTGTCTCTCACTGTTAAAATAAACCTACCATTAAAATTATAGACTGATCGTTTCTTTGTCAGTGGGCAAACGTACAAAATCAGCAGGGGATCAAATACTTTTTTCCCTCACTGTACATCCTACATGCGCCTAATTAGGCCACGACAACTTCGACATCACCCCTGTGGACACTTCTATCACCGTGTGCCCCTGGACACCGCAGCACCACAGAGCAGCCGCCACACACCAGACCATCCGCCTGCCAGTAGCCCTGGTGAAGATGACTGCAATCCGCAATCTTCCAGTCGTCATGTGTAGAAGTAGCCGTTGTAGGTGCTCTTCTTGTGCCGGTCCTTGACATTCACCTGCTCAAAGGGGCACTGGGACGGCAGGGGAGACGCCGCTTCAGCGTGTGCGGCCGTGTGCCAGTGTCAACGTGAGGGTAACCACATCCCTGTGTCCGCGTACATCGTACACGTACACTTAGACACGGTTGGTACTCAAACACCAGCATACATCGGCTCGGGAAATAAGAGGGAATAAGAACGGAGGGAAAAGGAGTAGAAAAATGGGAGAGACGAGGGAGACAGATGCTGCATCAGGCCATTTATGGACTCAGTCTATTGTCCTATCATCTCATAGCGTCCCTGGCACGTAGTCATATGTTACACAGTGGCAGTGGGGGTCGCAAAATGCCGATTTATTACTAATAAACCCCAAGGATCAGATCGAAATCCCTAATTTCGATCGGAATATTGATGGGGGGGGGGCACGTGCCACCCCCCCCCCCCCCACTGGCTCCGCCAGTGCATACAGTGGTTCGTCAACTGGGGTGCGCGCACCCCCTGGGGGTGCGAGACACGGCCAGATTTGTTTAGAAGGTAAATCATCGAAAACACAAATAAAGCATGGCCACGTAAGTACAACTACTTTGTTTCATCAAGCCCCATGCATTTATTAACATTGCAAAAGTTTTAACCATCGAGAACCAAAGAAGTAGAAGACTGCAGTAATGGTGAAGAACCACTGCTCGAATAGAATGGTGATGACACAGCAACTCGGTCGCCACGTGCGTTACTTTTCGCGCGCGTTCCTACTGCTGCCGTGATCATTGGATAAATCAATGGTGTGCGCGAATACAGGACAGTGTGAAAAAGAGCTTCATAGCTCATCGGATTTTTTCCCATGAATAAATAAAGATTCTGATTCTGTGCCCAACCGGGGGTATGTGAGAGTCGCCTCTGGCCCTCGGAGAGGAGACGCATGTTGAACGTCATTCACGCACCGTACGTAGCCAACCGTGCTCATCGGAGGTGCGGGGGAAGGACAACAAACTAAACACAACAAGCAGTTTTAAAGAGCCATTCAGAGGTTTTTTTGGGGTTAGATCGTGTAAATATAAACGTGTCCTTGAACCCGCCGCCACCTGACACAGCCAATTAGTAAAGGTTTGTCACGTAAACAAAACGTGCCAATTAGTTACTAGTTCAGCACACCGGTGTGTTGGAGTATAGCCACAACATCTACAATTCGAGTACTGTGACGTTTCACCGGTAATTACAACCAGCCTCACCAGGCGACAGCCAGAAATGTGGAGAAATCCTCCTGTTTCGCGGTCTTAAATAGAGGGATCAGTTTTAAAGACATGCATTTTCAATCTAGATTTGAAAGTGCATAGCTCCAGTGCCTTCCTCATATTGGAAGAGCGTTCCAGACGGTTCTCCACCCGCGCCGTGGGACCGTGTGCGTGTGCTGTGCGACTGGCCGCTGCGTGCGTACGTACGTGCCTGCAGGCCGAGCCGCAGCACTTCCCGCGCAGCAAGTGAGAGCGGCTCGTGAACACGGAGTAGCCGGACACGGGGTCCACGTACGTGTCCTTGCCTGCCTGCACGCACGCACGCACGCAGCGTTTCCATTCCACAAGGTCCCGCGCGTGTCAGTTACTGCGCTGCGATGGTATATCACAGTTCATTGAGTCATCGATGGTGGACGGCAGGATGGGGGTGGTGCAGTGGTGACACTTGTACATCACAGCAAGAAAAGGGCTGACTTCGATTCCAATTTCGGGTGCCTTTGTGTGGAGTTTGTACGCTCTCCCCCTGTTCTGAAGTTTGTGCGTATGTGGAGTTTGTATGTCCCCCCCCCCCTGTTAATTCTCCCCGCTCTGAAGAGTGTGAGTGTGAGTTTGTATGTTCTCCCTCTGTTCCACACAGGTTTCCTCCGGGCTCTCTGGTTTCCTCTTAAATCAACAAAACAAAAGGCACACGATAAAACAGGTGTCGGCCAAGACATCCCCAATGCTGAAAAATTACCTGAACAATTACTCAACTGCGATCACATACAGCAACATCACCCCCTTACGTCGTCCCAACATCACAATCTTGAGGCCAGATGGATGGCGAAGCCTTACTGGCAAGACCTTACTGACAGAGCGCCACAGGACACATAGCTCTTGTGGGTTAGGGGTCGTCCATAAATGACGTCACGCGATTTTGGACGATTTTTGACCCCCCCCCCTAGTCACACGGCGTTACAAAAAGTCAGACCCCCCCCTCAAAAATGACGTCACAAAGCTCTGCCCCCCCCCCCAAAGATATAAACCATGCTTCAAATCGCTTTAAACTATTGTCATTGTAGTGCGTATTTAATGTGGCGCTGCACTCTGATGTTGTAGGAGAAAACATTTATTAATAAGTCTATTTAATTAAGTAGAACGTGTTGTCTATATTTATTTAAAGTTGCGCAATTTGATGTCACGTCACATTTCTTAAACGCCCCCCCCCTCCCAGGTGCGTGACGTCATTTATGGACGGGCCCCTTAGCAGGGTCGAGTGACTGCTGGCTGTGGGTGTTACCCGTGTTAAAACTACTCAAATCTACTCAGCGCTCTGCTCACTTCTCAAGGAGAAATTTCCATGCACAATACTCCCGGCACCTCTGCTCATAACGCACGTTTATGGATAAAGATGCAGCCCCTGCAATTGCACTATCACACCAATGCTGCCAGGACTTCCACTACGTATGTCGAACTTCTTTCGCACCGTACGTAGCCAACTGTGCTCATCGATAGCTCGAGAGAACCCCTTCACAGGGTGTTTGGCCTACTCTTCCACGCTGGCCAGACATCTTAGAAGAGGTGGAAGTGCCCACACTATACCCCCGCCATATCAGACGTGTTGATCGACAAACTATCGTCTACACATTCACACTGCTGGGTGGACAGACGCAGAGCATTTAACACAAAAAAAACTTGCACAATGGTTTCAAATGCCGCGCCAGGAGTTCGAACTGACGACATCTGGATTGCAAGTGCAGCGTGCTGCTATTACACCACAGTGGCAGCATTCAATTTCTGTTCGTCTAGGAATAAAGTGTAGAGGAATGCTTCCTTAAGAGTTCCAAGGAAACGTGTAGGACCCTATTATGCCTGCAACTGCTGGGTCACAAGTCGGTGTGCAGGGCTGTGTTTTCACCAACGCAACAGGGGCGGCTGTATCATTGTGATATTATTATGCTTGTTTACCCAAGGTAAGCCTCAAGGAGTCTCTCTTTTTTAGAAGGTTCATGCTAAGTATAATTCCAATTGAGTGATTTGTGGTGCCATTTTTAGAACTTGGCAAATTTGGACCGTGACGGCGGCATAAGGCTTGACCTGCTCTTGCAAATCCTGTCACAGGGTCTTTTAACATCCACTGTGAAGCAGACGCCAGGTATTTTTGGTGGTTAAACACCGGCAGCAATAACCAGGGCGGCCGATTGGAATCAGACCGTGAACATCTGCAACAAGCGGCGAACGCGCTACCACGTCACAGGGTAATGGATGGTGGGGGGGGAGGCGCTTAGGGTGATATGCGAGGGATCATCGAACATCTAGGGCAGTGTTCTTCATTGCGAGGCCATTGCGGGCCATTGGCGGCCCTGGAGTGCGGCCCATGACATGCGGCCACCCGACAATCCTAATATATAAACACCCAGGTCTGTGATTGTCATTGTGACTAACGCGGCACGGATTGGTTTAAGTGCCTCACGTGACCGGGACCAAGCAGCCAACCAACGCTTGGCGGGGCTATAGAGGGGCGGGTGAAAGTCCGCATCGAACCAAACCCCCAGCAAGGCCATCTACTTAACGACGAGAGGAAATTCACACGAAATGCCGTTTTCAATTTAGTTATTCCAGATGTAAAATGATATAAGCTTTTAATGAAGAAATAAAATTATCTAATTCAAAACATAATACAATTCAAAGATGTTTCATTTTAAAGCTTCAAAACGGAGCATCGGGTGCTTGCGCGAATCTGTCGTTCGTGTGCAATTTTTTTCGTGACATTCCTGGCCGAAGGCCGTAAATGGTTGTGAGGGGTGCCACAGGCGCCCCCGAACAACCCCTAGGTACACAAATGTGAAAACACCCCCCTTGCAGGCAGTGCGGCGGCCCTCACACTTGTCGGCGAAAGTGCATCCCCTGACTCTGCAAATGAGTCAACACTGATCTAGGGCCTCATGACCATGGAACTGTAGCACCACTCCTGACAAACGGGCGACACCGACCGTGTCATCACCCCCTCCCGTGTTTCGTGCTGAATTAGCAAAGCCAAGCACCTGCTCCAGGCCAGCGTTAAAAGCCACCCGACTGCAGCGTTCTGGCCGGATGTGAATAAACCAGGCGGCCCATTCTCACAGACTGTGGCATCATCCCACTGCCTGCGCACGAGAAGGATTCTCAGACACTTGACAACGAGGTGGGGGGGGGGGCAGCTTAGCAACACTATTGAGGAAGTGCGTCGGCTTTGCTTCTCCACTCCACTACCGACAGTGACACGTTGTACACGTACAGTCCTTTTGTCAACACACTGCTGGACGAGGGCCCGTGTCCACCCCTGTGTGGTTCAGTGGAGTTGTTTCACCGTGCTTCACCACGCTGCACAGTGCGGGTCGGTGACGTTGGGGAGCGCAGGCAGCGGAGTGTAGCACGGTACAATGAACTTTGTTGCACTGCCCTTTGCCAAAAATGTCGGAATCAATGGATGTATTCATACTGGAGGAATCTGATGAGCTATGGAAGCTATTTTTCACAGATGTCCAGTCGGGGTGGGTCAGAACGTTACAAAAAAATAATACGAAAACACGATGAGAGTGAAAATGAGTGTATAGGAAAGGTAAAGAAATTACTTTTAAAAAAATATGCAGTCCTCAGCAGCCTGTAGCACCTATTGTATGCACGGTGGTCACCCATCCAAGCAATATCCATGCCCAGCCCAGCTTAGCGCCTCGCAATATTGGGGCGAATTCCTCGGTGGTTTGGTCGTACGAGTTGACGCGATGCATTGTGCTTAACCAACTGGGACTGGGAGAGGCCCAAGCCAGGTCCAGATGCCAAATGATCAGAAGTGGTAATGTGTGTAAGGAGAATATGTAACAAGACATTAGGATATTGTAGTGCAGCAGTGCCTACATACCTACGCCAAAGATGCCCCGTATAGCCTGAACACACTGTTGGGGCAAGTGCTGTTAGTGAGCACCTATGAAGGCCCGGAACGGTACACGAGGGCGTGGGTGGTCAGCACCACGCCCGGCCACCTTTGTCTCCCCCAGTGGCGGTGTTTACACACAGCCCATCGGGTCCTCATTTGAGGCTGAGTCGACCGAGGGGAGGCCCAGGACCAATTCAGATAATCATCACTGGTGTTGGCCGTGAGCGCGGATCGAACTCGGGTCGCCGGAGTCGTAGTGCAGCACGCAAACTACTACACTACCATTCCCCATGCGGAGGAGACGCACGCACACAGGATGAGACACATACACAGGGATTCCATAATAAATGTTTTTGGGTTAGATCGCGTTATTTATAAATGTGTCGTAACCCTCCACCACCCGACACGGCCAATCAGTAAAAAAGTGTCACGTTTACAAAGGACAAATAATTCACTACTTTAGCCCACCGGTGTGTTGAAGAGTGAATCAACATCATTAAAAATTTGAGTACGACGTTTCGCTGGTAATTATGTAGTGGGTTCCAGGACACGGAGACGGCAGAATAGAAGCAGCACTATTTATTTAAACCTTAACAAGGGTTACACTAGAAGGGGTAGCGGCCCCTCCACCCGTATAACTCAGGAACACACCCCAGGCTCTCTAGCCTAAGCTCTAGGCTCCCAGTTCCTCCTGGTAGGGCTCTAAGGGAGGCTATCAGATCCGGCCCTGGTTAGGCACAGATCTCGGCACCCCGCCGACCAGACCGGCCCTTAGAAGGACTCTGACTCTGGGGCTCTGGGGCCGCACCACTGGCTTGCTGTGCCGGCCCTGAAAAGGGCAGCGGTCACAGGAGTTCCAGGGTCTCACCTAGCTGGCCTTCTTTCTTCACTGGTTGCTTCAGCCTCGGGCCCCACACTCTGCCCCCAGCTCCCTGGCTCCCCGCACTTTATACCCACTGGAGCCTTAGCGGACGTTGTTGTAGCCACCAAGGTGTGGGTGAACCACACCTTCCCGTGTCATGTGTTTATTCCCCATAGCACCCCTACATCACCCCCTCCCGTGTAACCCGCAGCCGTCCCGGCTGCAACAATACTCGAACAATAAACACAACAAACCCTCACCCGTGCGTGCCTCATAAGAACGAACACCCCAATAAATAACCCAACCCACCTATACAAAATTACACTATATACACATATACATTGTACCCGCCCCCCCCATCAACGCAGCAAGAAAACTTAACAGTGAACAACAAGAGTAACAAGAACCATTTTTACAACAAGCGGCGCATTTTGGCGCGAGTCCGATTTGCGGGTCCATCGTAGGGGGAGGGTCCGGTCGGCCCGGCAGTGGGCACCGGCTGTGCAGGTGCACCGTCTTCCGTCACCCCGGAAGGGCAAACTCCGTCC